ATAGTTACAAATTTGTGTATGCATTTCTTATTTATTTTTGTCTTCCAAGTTTGAAACCAACACTGCATCTTTTATTGTAAGCGAGTGGTTTCCTTCTCAGAGAGAGAGGAGAAACTGAATTCCGCTACGTCCCTCTGGTGACAAAGCCGCGTACTACTCGTACTGAGCGACACTTTAAAAATTTTTATTTAAACTAGAAAAATGTAATTGTTATATCTATTTGCATGAAGTCCAAGTAACTACTCAATGTAGTTGAGTCATTACTTCACTACCAATTAATAGTGCATACAATTTGTTACCGTGACTATATTTTTATAATATTCAGCACTACTTTAGTTTCTATTACTTTGTAAAACTAGTTACAGGTACTTCAATTGCAAAAGTTGCCAAATTTATAGTTGCTGGAACTATTTTGTTTTCTCTCAGTGTGATTTTTTGTAATTAATATCTTGTCTATTGCGAAAACTGCAAAAGGATTTTTCGACTCAGTTTTTTATTAGGAATAACACTATATGATTAGTGTACATTATTTTAGATATATATATATATTTAATTATTATATCTGCTTATATAACGACCAAGTATTGTTACGAATTAATAATGGTCTGCATAAGTTTAAAAAAATTTGTTACCCTGTAAAAAACGGTAAGTTAAACCTACACGGATAACTACAGAAACGCATTTTTATATAGAAATGGATAATGTCAAAAATACATTTTCATAAAACAATAAAACTGTAAATCATAAAAGTAATTATATAAACTAAATTCCAAATATTTATATCAGATAAGTAAAAATATGGTCGGTAATATCAGCGTTCTTCTCGTAATTTTACCCCGAGCTGAAGGTCTCTAACCTTTAGAACGTGTAATATTGATCCGTGTATAACTGCTATTCAAATAACGTCTAAAAATACAAATTCTTTTTTTATACTTTTCACTTAATAAGTAATTAACTTTCTCTCACAGAAGTATCTTCTTTTCACAATCTTACCATATACTTATCTTTATATTTATTATATTTACATTTTTTAAACGAAATCAAAATTATTAACCATGTTTCAGCGAATAATTGCAACATTTAATGCAGTTATTCATACACACACAATCCTAAATGATGAAGAAAATTATATTAAATCCTGAAAATCAATACTGTCTCATCAGTGGTTCACAATACGAACTGGCTCATAGGATAAAATAGCAGCAACATATTGTCGATTTATCAACGATCCATAATTTAAACATTGCAATTAGAATTGCAACGTTTAATATAGTTTGATATTATATTACATTGATAATATAGTTTCTTATGATAAAACATGATCTTTCATCAATTGTTCACTATTCATATTACTTTTTATTCAAAGTAGTAGATTATAATATTATAAATATGAAAAATATGTTTAAATTTCAAACTGTTTATCGAATATTATAAAAGCAAAATTCGTTTGTATTAAATATTATAAGCGTTATTCTAATTTTCTTATCGGTTTTCATAAAACGAGAAATATATATCTTTCATCCACGAATGCACATCGATGAGAGATGTCGCCAGATGTCACTTCAGTCAAGAATGTTGTCAAAAATTTGATGTTTCTGTAACAAGGATAAGTAAAATAGTGTACTACTAGAAAAAAAAAATAAAAATACTGCACGGTTTAACTCTTATTTCTGACGAGTCTTCTTCATCTATCAGAGGAAAGTGCGCGCCACTGCGAGAATCTAAAAAATTTATTATGTTTAATTAAACAGATAACGATAGAATTAATTAAAGATCTTATAGCGGCGACATTAGTTGCCTCAATACTTGTTCCATCTCCACGCGCGATTTCTCTCGGGTCAACGCGCACCAACCACCACTACCACGTTCCCCCGAGAGCGACAAATTGCGAAGTTATCCCCTCTCTTTCTCGGACGCGACACTTATAGAGAATTAATAGCGGCTTTTATTGCGAGTTCTCGAAGTAACTGGCGGAATTGCCAAAAAAGTTTAAGTCGATCTATGTCGACGGCGGCGAACGCAGGCCAACGCAGGCGCAAACGTGCCGTTTCCATGGCGCCGTTGCTATACAGTTAGGTAATGTTGGATTAGATACTACGCCGTTTCCCAACCCTCTCCGGGTAACGTTCAGTACACCCTAAACCATCGTCGCGGTTAGAGGATCTCTTGCACCTTCCTACCTGCACACGTGCATATAGACACACGCAGGCACGGACTGCACGCATATTATACCTACACATACGTATATATACACACACACGTACATACGGTGTACCATACGCATGCACCAGCGTCCACCCACGCATTTGAGGGAAAACGCGTGGCTATTTACCCCCTATTTATGATACGGTCCGTCCGGCTAGTGTATCCGTTAG